GACTAATCCAAATTCGAGTCAAGCATGACTCAACGAGCAGCAAAACTCTCTCTCACGAGTTTTAACGAAACTGCATTCTTATAACTTGAAACCAAAACTTTTGATTGAACTGAAAGAGTCCCTTACCAACTTATCCATCCGCTCGTGAGTTAATAGTAACTGTTGTTTTGCTACAATAAGGTACTCCAATATTTGTTTGAATAAATAAAAATTTATGTTTTATCCAAAAGAAAACATTTTTTTTTTTTTAGTTTTTTTAAGATGTTCGCCGGGTTTGTTGTGATTTTCATAGGGTCTTTCAATCCCCTTTCTTTTCTTTATTATTTTTACGGGGTCCCCTCTTCTCTTCTTCTACTTTACTCTTTCTGCACGAGAAATTCAGAAACAAGAAGGTAGTCCTCGCCGTGGAAGAGGCTGATCAAGCAAAAAAATCCACTTCTCAATGAAGGATCTGGATCTTTTCTAGATCGTAGAAGAAAGATATTCAAAGGCCATAATCAGTGGTCAACGCCACCTTATTGGACATCGTACCACCTGTTAGGGGCAGCTCTAAGTGGTACCAGAGGTCACCCGTAAAATCTCTTAAGAGAGATCCAGGGGTTGACCCTTGGGGAGGCCTCCCCTGAAAATAAATAAATAATAGGTCCTAGTGTCCAAGGTAGTACGCCCAAAGCGATAGACGAGATTCATCCCCCTAACATAAAGACCGGCCTTTATGTTAGGAGGACGGATCCCACCAATCGCTTTGAGCATATTACCTTGAGCGCCAACTCAAGTGGTACCAAGGGTCACCCGCAAAGTCTCTTAAGGTAAATTCAGGGTTCGACCCTCCTCCGAGAAACATATAAATAATAGGCCCTATAGCTCAAGGCAATACACCCAAAGCGATAGGTGAGATCAGTTCCCGTAACACCATCATGCCTCCCTTCACTCATTGCTAGATTCCAATGGCTGCCCTTAACTATTCATCAGAGCTCACCTTGCTCGGTTGCTCCCATCGTGAAACTCAAAATTAAATAAAAAATTTTTGTTTTTTACTTAAATTTTTATACATTTAAAAAGTTAAAATATTTTGATATTAAAAATATTATTAAAATATTTAATAATTTTTAATATAAATTAATTTTAAAAAAGGATAAAT